ATGGGTGCCTCCTCAGCTAAAGCTGGCTGAATCTGAAAATGGTCCTCGAACCACGAGTATCTGACGAAGCTTGGACGAGCGAGAGGCGGCAGCTCGCCGAGCAAATATATCTGAGCGGCCTCCCACTCATCCATGTCTGTGTCAAAGGGGATCGGATCACCCCCTACCCCGATGCCGGTGAGCATCGAGAAGTCATAGGGAGCCATCGTCATGTCTCCCGTGGCAGAGAAGTGGAAGGAGTCGGTGGTGTCCCATCACCTCTCCACCAGAGCGGCAAGAAGAGGCCTGCTCACGGTAAGGCGTGAGAGTCCCCTGCAGAAGGCGCCGAAGCCAGCCTGATCGACAATGTGACAGACTGCGTCCGGTAGCTCCATGTACCATCCGCGGGCAGCAACATTCCCATACCCCCGGAAGGCATAGGAATCCCCCTGTATTCAAAAGCAAACAGTTGCGAAGCAATATTCAATATACAGTTTTGAAGAGCATTCAGAATTAGTAACAATACAGCGTGTGTGCACGTGTTCAGATTCAAACAGACATCGGGTGCCGGTGTGCTCGTAGTGAACTATAGCATATGATGTGTCAGTGTGTTTGAGTGGTTCAGTACAGATATAGCGTGTGCGCATGTGTTCAGATTCAAACAGACATCGGGTGCCGGTGTGCTCGTAGTGAACTACAGCATATGATGTGTCAGTGTGTTTGAGTGGTTCAGTACAGATATAGCGTGTGTGCATGTGTTCAGATTCAAACAGACATTGGGTGCCGGTGTGCTCGCAGTGAACTACAGTGTATGATGTGTCAGGGTGTTTGAGTGGTTCAGGGAAAATACAGTATGTGTGCGCGTGTTCTAATTCAAACAGATACCGAATGCAAGTGTGTTCACAGTCAACTACAACATATAGTATATCGGTGTATCCGGATCAAACAGTTAAAGGCAGAATCGACTATGGCAGTTAGGTATTCTACTTTGCAGAAAATGAAACCGAGAAGAATATACCTCGGAAGCGCCGTATGAAAGGTACGTCTCTGGCTCACGCAGAAGCAGCTCTGGTGGCACCCTCCTGTCAAAAGTCCTGAACCGGCGAAGTCCGTCAGGAGACAACACATGAATCGCCAGTCTGTAGGCCGCCGGATCAAACGGCCGGATGTAAAGCGGCAAGAGCTCGGCCTCTGGGTTCATATCTATCTCCGGGGGAGCCCCACCGCCTGGAATGTCGTCCGCCATCTCAAGAACGGTGCGAAAATGGCCGGAAGAGTGAAAACCGGCCAAGAATATAAAAAGTCAACCGAAAAGTCAACCCCGGGAGGGTGAAAAATGGCCGAAAAGGTCGGGGTGCAGAAAGGGCACGAAAATTGAGGTAAACTCAAGAAAACAAACCCCGAGTGGTGAGAATCGAGAAAAAGACGCCGAAACAAAGTTTTGTTTGGTTCAAAATATTCGAAACGCGAAGGTATTCGCGAATCGAACATCGAAACGGGCCCTAAAACCCAGGAAAATGGCGGATCGAAGGAAGAAAAATAGCCTAAAGAGAATGAGGAGGAAATTTCGAGCAAGAGGGAAGTGAAAATATAGGGCTAGAAGCCCTATATTTAAAGACCCGTGCCGATTTGACCAAACTGCCCCGATTCAGGCATATTTGGCCGGTCGGCCACATTGTTGGCTGGTCGGCCAAATAGATGGCCGGTGAACTTTTTTGGTGGCCGGTGGATGGCCGGTGACCTCCCCTTATGGTCGATGAGCCTCCTACACCTTTGTTTGGGTCTTTGATGTGGTTTGGAGCCTCCATTGCTCAACACAGTGCAAGAGAGTGCATTTTTGAAGCTCAACCGGACTCCGTTTTGACCTCGGACCGTGTTTTCTGTGCGTAGCACTCGAATGCGTGCAAGGGTGTATCCTTTTCGTATCCTTTTTGTATCTTGCAAACATTCAGAAACTACTTCAAATGCATTGCACCATTATGCATGTATACACGCATTGTCATGCGCACGCCGACTTGCATTGCTATGTACCTCCAGGCGGTCTGGCGAGACCTTAAATACGCTCGGTCTAGGAGACCTTAAATCCTCTGAAGGTGCAAGTCCTTTGGTGTTTGTCGTGCCCGAATGACTCTTGGCGGATTTTATCCTAGGTTGCATTGTCATGCATCCCTCACTCGCATTGTTATGCGCTACTCATGTGCATTGTCATGCATTTCAAAAGACATGCGTTGTCACGCGTTCAATTTCATCATGCATTTCCCAAAAAAAAAACACCAAAACAAAAAAAACACAAACATGCATATGTCATGCATTACATTGTAAATAGTGCATATGTCATGCATTCCATTGTAAATAGTGCATCTATCATGCATCACGGTAAATATTACATTTACATCCATTGCATATTGTAAATATTGCATTGTAGCTTGCATGCATTCACTGCATCACCCCCGCCTACGGCTTGCGCCTTTCCATGTTGAGCTTGGTTTGGTATGTGCCCATATTTTTCACGTCGAAGCACAGTTATGATATTATGTGTACGCGCCTATTCCACTACTGGTATTGTGGTTTGAGGGTGACGGCACCATTTCTGTGTTAGATGCGGTTTGTATGTGTCCATGTCTTTCCTAGGCAAGATACGGTTTGGCCGTAGGCCTTATCCGCTGCATCCATTGCATATTGTAAATATTGCATTGTAGCTTGCATGCATTCACTGCATCACCCCCTCCATTTACGACTTGCGCCTTTCTATGTTGAGGTTGGTCTGGTATGTGCCCGTACTCTTCACGTTGAAGCACGGTTATGATATTATGTGTACGCACCTAGTGTTGTGGGTGACGGCACCGTTTCTGTGTTAAACGTGGTCTGTATGTGTCCATGCCTTTCCTAGGCAAGATAACGTTTGGCCGCAGGCCTTATCCACTGCATCCATTGCATTTTAGCTAGTAAATATTGCATTGCACATAGCTTGCATTGTCATGCATCTTTCCTTACATGCATTGTAGTGCATTCTTCCTTACTTTGCATTGTCATGCATTTCCCTACTGCATCATTTAGTATGTAGGTTTCATTGTAAATAGTGCATTGTCATGCATTCATTATATTGCATTGTATTACATGCATTCGCTGCATCCTCTATCCATCGCTTGTGCCTTTCCATGTTGAGCTTGGTCTGGTATGTGCTCATACTTTTCGCGTTGAAGCACAGTTATGATATTATGTGTACGCACCTAGTGTTGAGGGTGACAACACCGTTTCTGTGTTAAACGTGGTTTGTTTGTGTCCATGCCTTTCCTAGGCAAGATATATTTTGGTCGCGCGCCATATCCATTTCATTCATTACATTGTGGTGTAGTGTTTGGCATCCAGCATTTAGGATCATAGTCTTTCCTCAGCGGGTCATTCCCTATTTATATCATCTCACCTAATTACTTGTATCTTGTGTTCCGTCTACACACTCATAGTTCTGCATGTGTACGCGCCTATTCCACTGCTGGTATTGTGGTTTGAAGGTGTCGGCACATTTTCTATGGTAGACGGACTTTGCATCTCCATCATCTTTATGATGTTTGTGTGGTTTTGAACCGCTTATGGTTTGATTATGTTTCAAATGCATTGCATATCATTTGCATTGTTTATACATAGTTTTGTAAATATTGCATATCATTTTGTGCATAGGTTGTATTGTCATTGTAGACACCCCATTTTTGACTATCCTCAAGACTTGGACGTCACATTTGGAACACTTGGTGATTACCCTTGTTTGTGTTCGTCTTGAGTTCCCGGAAGTCTTGGCTGCGCGTCTTGCCTCAGAATCTCTCGACTCGACTGTTCCGTGTTTGGTTTTGGCACCAAACACTTGTGTTTTTGCCTTGAAGGGCGGGGAATGGTTTGTTGGCCATCCCCACATTCCACCGGCCTTCCCCTAGCATCACCGACTGTTTATGGGTGCCACCGGCCATGGTTTCTTAAAACCAATGGCCAGTCGACACTATATTTGGCCGGCCGGCACTTTATTTTGCTAACGACCTCTTTTGCTGGCCAGTGTGACTCCTTTGCACCCTTGAGGCATGGTGCATGCCAACTGTGCCAGCTGGAATGCACCATCACTCCTCCCCGTGCAGTTTTTGGCTAGTATGAGCCTTTGAACCCCTTTGGATCCTTCTAGAAGGATGAACCCTTGGCTAAGCTTCTTGGAGAAGCTTGGCCAGCTGTTTTTGCTTCTCCAAGAAGCCTAGACTCCTTTGCACCCTTTGCCCCTTTCATTTTTGCTTAGTCTATATATAGAGCCCTCCTCCTCCTTTGTTAAAGGTTGGAGTTTTAAACCTAAAAAACCAGAGCTTATATACATATATCTGCTAGATATATCATCTCTCTCTATATTTCCCTCTCTCTCCTCCCTTAGTGTGTGTTTGGTAGCCCAAAAGTGCATTTTGGCCGTACTTTTGCACTAAAACACACACCATTACACCTTGCTCCGAGATTGAGAGGCATTGAGGGTTGTTTGTTGAGGTTTTGGACTGATTTTGATCAGTAGAGAGTGGCTGGATCATCTGTTCTTCAAGGTTTCTTCAAGGGTGAGATACTTGCTTTAGTTTCCCCAATATTGCACTAGTTTTCTACCTGTCTTGCATGCTGATTTAGGCTTTGTGTTTAACATGAAAAAGTCTTGTATTTTTGTGCTTAACATCTTTCATTAAGGGTGTTTTGGCATTGGGGGTCGAACTCCTCCCCTTAGGCCTCTTTTGGCCTATTTTGGTGCCCTTTTCTTTAAGCTTTATTTACTTTGTTGTGTTGGTCTTCCCACCACTGAAATCCAGTGGATTTTCAGTGGTGATGGAGTGGTTTTGAAGTCTTGTGTAGGGGAGGGACACCCCTCTCCCCTTTGTCCTTCTTTTACCCTTGTTTTGGCTTAAAAGGGGAACATGCATGCTTGATCATTTTTGGGCCCATTTCAGAAGTTTTTTGGGTGTTTTGGGTCATATTATATCTCTATTGGTGCCATGCTGCCTGTGGCATCCAAAAGAATCTCATAAAGCCAGGTCCCAGCTTGAAGGGGCCGTCAGGGACGAGTGAGATGCAATTTCACTGCCTTGGTTGTGGTCACGCTTCGGAGATGTTTGGGTTTGTGAAAGATGTGTTTATGTCCTGTGCAAAGGATTGGGGTCTAGAAACCCTATTGAAGGAGCTTGATTGTGTGGGGAAAATCTTTCGGGGAAGTGAAGATTTCAAAGGCAAGGAGCTGCATATTAAGGCCGACGAAATGCTCTCCAAGCTTGAAAATAAACTGATGTCGCCTTCGGATGTCTGCAATTTCATCCTTCAGTTTTTCAACTGTAAGTGTCAAAACCTTGGCTTGTTACATTTTGTTTTCAATTTAGTACTTAGCATATCAATTGGAATGTCTTAGAAGATCTTATTCTTTTATGGGTCTTTTGAAATTAAGTTAGTCATTTTGCCATTCTGCTCTTTAATATTTGAAGCATGAAGCAAGATGAACTTATCAATACACACGTATATATTTGAAGCAAGGTGCTCGATAATATTAATAACGATCAGACATGATTGATTTTGTCTTTTGCTTGTTGTTTCATGATGGACTCTCTTTTTTCTGTAATTAATTCATGATGGACACTGTTACCTAATTACACAATATTTTTCAGTTGAAAGGATAATTTGTGGTTAAATTGCTAATCTTATATTTTAATTTGTAAGTAATGATCACCTGTAGGCCAATATGATATGGAGTTTAGAAATGATGTTTGCAAGTACGAGTATCTGATATGGAAATACTTTCTTTTTTTGGAAGCACAATCTCACATATATGGCCTGGGTTGTCCGAAATAACCAAACTTGTTGCAATCCCTAGTATGGCATAGTGCTAATTTTGGGACAAAGTTGAAACCTACATTCTATTGAACATGGTGTGGTTTGGTGCAGCCTAAATGGATTGTTTATTACTTTTTTTTTTATTATTTCTTTTAGATGGCAGACCATTTGGATCCTTAAAGCTGTGTTTGGATCATGGATTTGGGTAGAGATTTGGAAAGGAAAATAGAAAAATGTAGCTATATTTCATTAACATTTCACCTATTTTTTCCATTCCCTTTCCAAATCCCTACCCAAATTCCTAATCCAAACACAACCTTAATTTGTAACGATGTATGAAGAAGAAGAAATTTGCATTTGCTAGTGGCACCAATGGGCATCATCTCCTTATTCTTTGCTAGTGTATAATTGCAAAATGAATTATATAGGAGGTATTTTCAACTGATTCTATTGGCAAATTATCTTTTCTATATGTGCATGGCAACAAAATTCTCTCTCTCTATTCTTTTTTTTTTTTTTGAAAATCTCCTAAACGTATCGTGCTTTTTCATCAACTGAACAAATTTCAAATTTATTTCACATATTCAAATAGTTCTCAATTTTTATCTTGAATATTACAAATAATTCTCACTTATATTAATTATTTAGGAATTAGGATAACCATTAGGATTCATTGTTTGTAAGATTTCAAAATTATTCTTAAATCTTAGTAGTTTCATGAACACTGATAGTTTCTCAAGAATTACAAATATCTCTCAATAAGGTTTAATATCCAACCTTGATGACTATGTGTAGGGTTGCAAACGAGCTGAGAACTAATCATGCTCGAGTTCAGCTCGAAGCTTGATAATGAAGAAATAGTGAAGCTTGATATTCAAGCTTGGTTGGCTCATTAAACATTACTCTATATGAAGCATACATATAAGCACATTATTTACTAAATAAATAATATATTTACCCTATTACTTTAATAAATAATAGACAAGCAAAGCTTATTCTAGCTTGAGCTCGGCTCATTTATTCAACGAGCCTAAAAATTTGGTTCGAGCTTGTTTTGAATACATAACAAACCAAACCAAGCCCTTACTGAGCAGAGCTTGCAAGTAGCATGTTTCATTTGCAGCCCTATAGGTTACACTGTCTCTTCTCCTTAGAGAGGATTGAAATAATGAATCGGAAGAATTTGAGATGTTGCAACTAGTTTGAGAAGTACCTAGACAAATGGAAGCTAACAGATTATAACCATTTTTGTTTTCTGGTTTTTTGATTCGTAGACACAGATGGCATGTCAGACTTCACCTCTTCCAGTGTGCCTCCAAAAGAATTGCTGGCAAACCAAACTAACCCTAGGAATGATGCAGCCCCTCTTCGTACACCCAAGTCACTGCCTCCAAAGTCTTGTTTCTACAACATGAACTCGTTGCAGCATGATCTACATCAGAGTGATCTGAACACTACCCCCATGGGAGACAAAATGATCAAAGATGAGTGGTCCGTGAAGTCATCCTCATCGAAGAAAGATGGGTATGACAGCTTGGAAAGCATTGTGCGGATTAAGGAAGTTGAATCTAGAATGTTCCAAAACCGAGCAGATGAAGCGAGGAGAGAAGCAGAGAATTACAGGCGGATGGTGCGGATGAAGAATGAGAAATTGGAAGAGGAGTATGCCGAGAAGCTTGCCAAACTGTGTTTGCAGGAAACCGAGGAAAGGAGGAGGAAAAAACAGGAGGAGGTTAAGACGTTGGAAAATTCACATTTCGATAGAGGGGCAACTGTAGACACCCCATTTTTGACCGTCCTCAAGACTTGGACGTCACCATTTGAACACTCGGTGACCATCCATGTTTGTGTTTGTCTTGAGTTCCCGGAGGTCTCAGCCACGCGCCTTGCCTCAGGATCTCTCGACTCGACTGTTTTGTGTTTGGTTTTGCACCAAACACTTGTGTTTTTTGCTTTGGAGGGCAGGAAATGGCTAGTTGGCCATCCCCACACCTCACCGGCCATGGCTTGAGGCCACCGGCCACTGTTTTGTTGCCATCGGCCAAATGTTTGGCTGGTCGGCACTATTGATGGTCGGCCGACCATTGTTTTGGCCAATTTGGCATCTTTGGTTGGCCGACCACTGTGCATATGCTTTTGGCAGATATTTTGTGCCAGCTGTGATAGCTGGCACCCACTTTTCCCCCCCTCCATACACGTGTATGGAGGGATTTCACTCTTGCTTAGCTTGTTTTGTAAGCTTTGCAAGAGTGATCCTCTATAAATGGAGGCCTTCTCCTCCCTTCTCAAGGGTTAGAAGGTTGGGTTCCAGAGGTCTGGATTAGGGTTAGGGTTTGTGTATCACCTATCTCTATATCTCTCTCTCTTTTTGCCTTTGTGTATGTATAAGTGTGTTTGTGTCTTACTTTTGTGAATAAACACCTAGTGCTACACCTTACCTTGGTTTCTGAGGTGCCAAAGGTTTGTTTTCAAAGTTTTGAGCTGGTTTCGAGCTAAGGAAGGCTGCTGGAGCTCCATCCTTGAAGGGGTCTACAAGGGTAAGATTCTTGTTTTTTATTCCCCATTTTTGCATAGTCTTTTAACCTACCTTGAATCTATTTTTAGACTTTGTGTATAACTAATAAAAGTCTTGTTTTTGAGTACTCTAAATAGTTGTTTAAGGTCACTTTGTTGTTTGGGGTTGTTTGACCCCTCTTAGGCCTTGTTTGGTCCCCATTTTGTGCATTTTTTGTGAGCTCCGGGACCACCTTGTTTGGGCCTCCTCACCACTGAAATCCAAAGGGATTTTAGTGGTGGGGATGGTGCTTTAAGGTCCTAAGAAGGAGAGGGCCATCCCCTCTCCTTGTTGCCTTCAATGTTGGCCATTTCAGCCTCATGTGTGAGCATCTTGTTTAAGTGCATGTTGGCCATGTCTTAAGTGTTATTTGTGCTTATTTTTCCATGATATAGTACTTTTTTTAATTGGTTTAGACACACCATGCATGCTTAGTATACTTGTCTTGTAATGCCATGAATTGCCTTAACATGTGCCTAGCATTTAGACCACCATGCTTACTTGTTTTGGCTTAGCTTTGTGAAGCTTTTATGCATGTTTTGATGTGCTTGAGGTCTGTTTTTAGTTGTTTGGGCCATCCATGGCTTTCTTTGTATAGCTACCATGCAATCTCCCTTGTAGGTCTTGAGTGTTGCCCCCTCTAGCATGCTTTACTTGCTTTGTTTCAGTGGTTTGGAACCACTTATTATGTCATTTCAGTCCTTATAGCATGCTTGTATGCTTGCATTTGATGCTCTTTTAACGCTTTAAAAGGTTGGTGTTTCATGCTCCATGTTTGTGCCATTGTGTATGCTTCTAGGATTAGATCATTTAGATGCCATCTAAGTGATTTTTGGGGCTTACTTTGGCATGATTTAGGACTGTTTTGATTCACTTTAGTCATTTGCTTCATGTGTCACATGACCATAGTTTAAGTCCTTGGGCTTGGTTGCATGCCTTGCTTGCATTGGTGGGTTGATTTGGCATCATCTCTTACATGTTTTCAAAGCTTATCATGTATGCTATTTGTCCATGTTAAGTGTGCTTAAAAGTCCCCTCTTTGTGCCTAAGTATTGGACCATGTTTGCATACATGTTTGTATGTGCATTTGCTCCTCATTTCCTTGGCATTTGGCCATTTTTTTGGGCTTATTTGAGAGCTGCCCAAACTAGTCTAAGACCCTCATTCGTGTGTTGTTGCATGCTAGCCTTGCATGTTGTTACATACTTGGCCTATCGCATGTGTTGCATGTTTGAATCACATTGCAATTGGCATGCATTTCCTCTTGTTTTGATTGCTTAACATGTTATATGTCTTGCATGTTTGCTTGTTCACATTGCATCTTTACATGCTTGTTAACTTGCATACTTGTTACATATTTGCATCTTAGAATGCTTGTTTGCATCCTCATGTTGCATGTTTAGCTTGCATGACTAGGTTGCATTTCACTGAGCATGCATGCCTTACCGCTTGAATTGATTATGATAGAGGTTGGGCTTCCATTGTTTGTTTATGTGCATTTCATTCCACATCAAAATGCACAACTTGGTTTCTTGGTCCATCACGCATTGAAATGCGCAATTGGTGGTCCGAGAATCGAGTACTGTACCCCTTTGAGTCATAAACATGATAAGGGGTGTGGTGGTACAAACATTGCTTTGAAATGCATTGCCATGCCTTGTTTTGCCCTCTGCTGCTGTCAAAACAGGTTCCTGCAGGAAGATATGGCCGGTCGGCCATCTCCAGTGCCGGCCGGCTATCCATTTCTGGTCGATGGCTTCATAGATGGTCGATGACCACTTACCTTTGGCCGGTGACCATTCCTCATGGTCGGTGGCATTTCCCAGTGTTCAGAGGGTGTACCTTGGGACTTGTGCAGTCTTCAGAAGAGGAAAACAGTGAAAACAGAGGCAGCTTGTGCATGGTGACGGATTTCCGAGCAAACCCGAGCACGCATGCATTGGACCCTCTTCCCGAGGCTATTTTATTGCTTTCTTAGCTTAGTTAATTTGCTTAACTAGTTAAGTGGTCTGTAATAATTAATTAGCTTGTAGGTTAATTAATTTGTATTATTCTTTTGGTCCCTCCGAGCGAGGGCTAATGTGTAATAAGTGTGAGTGTGTGTGTGCATGTCTTCCAACCCCCATTTCTTTCTCCCTTTTACTTACCTGCTTTTGATGGTTAGTACTAGGGCACGTTTCATTTAGCATTCATTCATCAGTATTGCATGCACCGGGCTCGGTGCATCATGCTAACTACATAATATTTCAAATCTAACTTGAATACATGTTACTTGCTGTATTTCGCATGCCATCCTAGGATTAGCCGAGCCTATTCTAGATTGCATTTTGCCTGTGATGCATTAGCCACTTTAACATGAACTAGGATCATGCATGATTACTAACTAGTTTCTTGTTTTGGCTTGGAGTACGCTGTGAGTGTTTTTATGCTTTAGCATCTCGTATGAGTGTGAATGATAAACATGACAGCATGCTTACCATGTGGCTATATGCTTATGTGATATTACTGCCTGAATGCCTGTGGGTGAAAGTTGTATTGCTTGAGTTGGAACAACTCGTTGAAATCCGTATTTTAGCTTACTTGCGAGTAGCAAATTTCAAACCATTTTCCGAACAAACGGATATGCAATGCTTTGTTCCAAATTAGGCGATCTAGTCTATACTTTTGTGTTGTGCGCATCACATAGTAAGATTAGATAATTAATCGGAATAAGAACACATAACGTTTTCAAAACTAGATATCATGGTTAGTAGAGGCCAATCTTCGGATCGGGCGAGCGGGGGTGCTCATAGCTGACCTTCCCCAATCGTACCCAAGTTCCCGAGCCGAGGTAACTTTGGTGATGACGGACACATGGCCTTAGGCAACGAGTCAGGGTTTCCTAAATTTTCCCAAAATAAAATATTTAGGTGGCGACTCTATATCTGGAAAAACAGTCTATGTTTGGCACTTCTTTCTAAAAAATCTGTTTTCCAAACGATTTGCCGGATTTGAACTCTTTGGTGATTTATCAATCTTACATTGCACATTGTGAGATCAGATTAAGAACCGACACACAAATCGAGTCGGAACTGTAGCATGGGGCCAAAGGGCACGTCTACACCCTATTACAAAACTCTAGGTCATTACAACAAAATATTCTCAACTGTCAATCCCAAAACCGCTTACTTCAAGTCACCACTGTAGTTGTACAACATTATTTCCTGAAAAATAGAATAGGGGTGAGCTATATGCCCAGTAAGAATACATTTAACCAAGTATTTAATCATTTGAATAAATTTATAACACCCTTAAGACAAAACATAATAAGTAGTTATGAACACATGTAATTTTCACTGATTATGTAAATACATAACGATTAAGCATGGACCATTACATTTCATACCTTTACAGCACAACAATTAAACAATCACATCAATGGAAAACAAACCATGAGTCCCATGTAAGAGTCCAACACAAGTTGCTTTAGTTTCAAAAACCATCCCCCATATTTGCCGGCTATTATACGGCAAAAAGTGGGCACCCAAGAAAATCATCCGTTTTCCCACTTTCTCCGGCTATTATACGGCAGGACTGTGTGGACACCCAAAAAAGTTTTTCCTACATTGGTCCAGCGATAAGCCTAGACAGGACATTTGGGCACCTTTTAAACTACCCGCGCGGGTACCAACACAACACCACATTTTCTAAAACCGACTCTTAACCGGACTCATGCACAATTAACAATTCCATCACATTTTAATTCCATCAACAAATATCCATCATCACAATAGATGAAACACCACATAATATTCAAAGAATAATAACATTCAAGTCATAATTCCTTTACGATATCAACATCCATATCTTTCATTTCTTGATTGTTCATAATATTCCATGAATCAAAGGAAATTTCACTCAATTTAGTGTTTTCTATTCAAATTGAAAAGTTAAGGTTTTACCAAATTTGGGGGTTTCTCTCCTTCATCATAGATATAGGTTTTAACAACATTTACATATATGTTTTTAGAAAAAGAGTTAAGAAATTTCAAGCAAAAGTCAAGCAAAATAATTTATTTGTGTAAAACATGGGTTTAATCCAACAAGGTCCTCAAATTAGCTTATAAGTCACAACAATACCACAAAATCTCTTCAAAATAAAGAAATACTAGGATAAAAGTATCCCCACCTTAAAAAAATGAAAAAAAAAAAAAACCTCAGAGAAACCCAAACTTGATGAA